TGGACCCCAGATTGGCTCCCCACAGTGTCTGCCTCATCTGTGGGCAGAGATAAGCTCCCCAGTGTGCTGCCTGCTTGTCAGTTTGCCCTGGGGCACAGTCACTCAAGACAACTCCCAGGCTTTGGGGAGAGCCTGATACCCACTGCCTCCTTCCAGCCGGTGCCCTGACACCCAGAGGTCCCTTAGGCAGCAGCACCTCCTAGCTAAGTACCTCCTGCAGCCCTCACCCTCTCCGACACATCTCCCTGCCCTGTACAACCCACACCCACACCCTGCAGACACACACCCCCTAACCAAAACGAGGTCCACAGGAGCTGAGATCATCCCCCCTTCATGTGTTCAGGTCCCACCTGAACTCCCCCTGCTCCTGTCCCTACCAACCCAGATCAAAGTCCTCCCTCCAGGTAGCGTGGCCCCCCGGAACCGGCGCAATCACATACCCCAGAGGTTACTTGGCTGAATCAGAACCTGTGCTTTAGCAAGCTGCGAGCCAGGTCTCTGAGTGGTAAGCTCTACCCAAGCAACTGCACCCTCTGCTGACAACTGCAGACATCCCTCCAGGGCCTGGGGAAGTTCTTAAATCATGACACCCAGACTCAGCAGCTGGGTAGCCGTGACCCCGTGCTCAACCTGACTTCTCCCCAGGCTGAGTTAGGGAGAGGGAGTGTCCCGGTGAGAAATGTTATCCCCTCCTCTGGCAGGACTTCAGGACCCTCTGCCTCCAGGACCCCAGGCTGAATTGCAAACTGGTGTGACTTGCTCAGTTTTCCTGAAGAGGATGGTAGTGCCCTGTGTTCCCAGTGGCTCCTCACGGCAGCCCAAGTGCCAACTATAGTTACCTGGGCCAAGTGACCTCTCGTCAGGAAGGAAATCTATGCTGAGCCCTAACCTGCCTACCTCCTGCTATGCTACGGCCTTCCACTGCAGGTCACAGACGCCCAGGGAAGTCTGGTTTCCCAAAGCCACACTTGAAGCACCACCTCACAACAGTCTAGATGGAATCCCAGACCCAGGCCCCTGTCACACCTATCTCTCTTTTCCTGGGGCAGCTGGGCCCTTAAGAAGCAGGGGAAATAGATACCGCTGACCCCAGTGGGGTGGGACAGCTCTAACGGGGGCACCTCTAACTGGCAGAAACAAGAGACCACCCAACCTGTGCCAGATGCCCCGTTACTCAGCCCAGGCCTGGAGTTCTTCCTGCAGGGACACCTCCTCTCTCACTCCAAGCAGGGGGCTCCTCCACTACAGCAGAGGTGGCCCCCAACCCAGAACCAGACATCTTGCCAGGTGGCAAGAAAACCCACCTGTTGGTTAAGAAGCCCACAGCAGGGCAGGGTGTATCTACGAGAAGCACAAAATGCAGTGAGTTAGAATCCACATTCCGGAGCAGGGCTGCCTGGGCCACCAATCTTGGCTTTGTCCCTACTTAGCTGTGTGACACTGAGCAATGTCGCCCAAAGGTGTCTCGGTCTTTCCATCTGCAAAATGGGAGTAAGACCTACTTTATTGAGTGGTTTAAGAGCATTAATGTTTGTTGCATCCTTAGAACACTCCGCGTATCGTGAGTATACCATACCACAGACCTGGTCTGTCTTTTGCCCTCTGCCTACTCTCCCCCCACCTCCCCCAGGAGCTGGCCTCCTGGCTCCCACACCCAGGCATGCCAGTCCCACCCCACGGCTGGGCACTCAGCCCTTTCTCCCACTACTCATCTCAGAGGGCCACTCTGCGCAGGGTCCAGCTCCCTTCCCACCTTGGTGGTCTCCTCTGTGGAAATAAGGAATGCTGAAGGGGCATGGAGGAGCCCTGGTTGAGGTGTGGTTATGCACTGGTCAGCTAACCACAAGATCAGCAGTTCGAAACCACTTGCCACTCCTCTGGAGAAAGATGAGGCTTTCTGCTTCTGTAGAGAGTTTTATAGTTCTACCCTGCCCTCTAGGTTGGCTATGAATTGGAATCAACTCAATGGCAGTGAGTTTGGTTGGTGGCGGAAAAGGCACAATCTACAGTAAGACCTCTCAATTCCAGTTTCCTCCCCTCCTCAATGCCCCGAGCCCCAGGGCTGGCCCCTGGCAGTCATCTAAAGGAGTGTGCTAAACAAAATCTCACCGGCTGGCTTCCCAGACCACACCATCTCCCAAGTTAGGGGGTTCTCCACCATGTGCTCACCCACCCTTCCACTGAACGGGCCTAGGTTTGTTTCCTCCACAGTGAACAAAGGGAATCATTTTTCCTCAACCCACCGTGACCTGCAGTAACTCTATATGCCCCACACTTCCCCTGCCCTCAAGCCACCCGGACCTTCCCACTTCCCTTTTTCAGAGCCCAATGGCCACCTCAGATTCTTGCAACTGTTTTTGTGGAAATAAAATTTAAATCTTCAGGAGTCACTTAACGCCACTTTAGGGCTCCTATACTGTCTGCAGTACCCACCTCTTTCAGCCTAGCCAGATCCCAACCTTCCCACCTGGCTCAAGATTTCCTGAGCATCAATAACGTGCCAGGCAGTGTGTGAGTTGCTCCACAGCCAGCAGTGGGCTCCCTGGTCAATTTTTCAACCCTTGAAAAGCTGACAAAGTCAAATAAACATACAAGTGAAACAAGCAGTTATGGGCTGGCCTGAACATAACAATGAGGGCAAACCAGGTACTTTGACAAAATATCAAAGGGTGGAGACCTCTACCCAGACTGGGTATTTAGGGAAGGCATATGAGCAAGGAACATTTAAACTGAGAACTAAAAGGTAAGATGCTGAGCCAGCCCAGAAGAGTATTCTGGTCAGAGGGATCAGCATGAGCAAAGGTCCTGGGGCAGGCAAGGCTTAGGGTATTAAAGAGGAATAGGTGATTTGGTGTGGTTGTCAGGGAGGGCACAAAGAGGACAGTGGTCAGGGCGAGGCTGGGGAGGTCTGCCATGGAGGGTCCAGTGGGTCAGGGGAGAGCTTTGAGATTTCACTCCAAGTTCGTTTTCTTCTAAACCACCAGGTTGCGGAGGAGTGGGGTGATCTCATTTATTTCTTTCTAAATCATTCTTGCTGCTCTATTAAAATGGATCAGCGGAGGGCAAGTGCAGACACGGGAAGAAGAGTTAGCAGCAACCGCAGCAGTTCAGACAAAACAGAATGGCAGCTTAGCCTGGGGCGATAGCCCTGAAGTCAGAGGTAGTAAGAGAACAGACTTTGCAGGAGGAAAAAAGTCTAAGGATTTTCTGTTGAACTGGGTGTGAGGAGAGCCGGAAAGGAGAGAATTGGTGCCACCGGCTGTCTTTCTTTAAAGAAATGGCCAGGCCTGCGATGGATCCTGTTTGGGGAGGTGCCACCAAAGGTCCTATGTTACCCAGGTTAGGTTTTTTCATATCTGTGAGATATTGAGGCACCACCAATCATTCTATGGATGATTAGCTAGAGAGGCTGGGGTCAGACAAGATGTGCTTTTTAAAACCATGAGGATGAAAATCATGTACATGCAAAATCTATGTGTTTGGAAATTAATACTTGCTTGATTTGGAAGACCACACACACACACACACACACAAGGAAAGAGCTGGGTAAGGAGTATGTATTTAGAAGGGAAGGGGAAAGGGAAAGGGAGGGGGGCTAGTGAGCCCTCCAGTATTTAGTTCCATGAAGCCCTTGTTGGCAAAGAAGACTAAGAAAGGGCCACCGGGGAGAGGGGAGAAGGTACCAAAGTGGCGTCAGTCCAGTATAAGGGAATCTGGAGATGTGGGGTCACAGGTGGAGGGGTCAAAAAGTCAGAGGTAAAATGGGAGGTGGGGTAGCAGAAGCTGTTCTTACACTAAAGAAGCCACTGATAAAAAATGGTGAGGCGGACAGTAGTAAATCCTACCAGAGCCCAAGTGGCAGGAATTGTGGGTTTAACAGCATCTGTGGCTATAAGGCAAGGTCAGAGGTTCACACCCACTGAGGGAGGAAGCTGAAGTTGTCCACTCTCATAAAGGTACATCGTTTCCAACACCCTATGAGCAGTTCTACTCTGTCCTATAGGGTCACCATGAGTTGGAGTTGAAGCCAAGGCAGTGGATTTGGTCTTAATTTGGTTTTCCTTCCTCTAACAAGGAGGAGGATAGAGGTGGAAAAAGTGAGGGCCTTCACAGCACATCTTTCAGATTCCCTCCCAACTACCCTCGCTATCCGTGCCCACTCCAAGTGACCCCAGAGGGACCTGCTGCCTTAAGTTACCCCACACAGACTGGCATGGGATGTAACACCAATTGGCACTTTCTGCAAACAGCCAGGGGCCCCATCTCACCATACACGATCCACACCTAGCTCATCCCATCAGGCCCTGCTCCCTCCTGCTGCAAACACCAAGGGGGTTCGCTCGCAGGGCCCTCCACCTGCTCTGAGCAAGACCCAACCCCAACCCCAGGACAGTGGCTTCCCTCCCCTAAAGGGAACACTCAAGTCCACCCTACCTTTTTTCCAAGCCTGACCCCCACCCAGTCCGAGACCCTCTAGTGGGCCCTCCCAAGATAGCTGCTCTTCATGCTTCCAAAGCACGCCTCCAGGCCTCCAAAGCACAGAGCCCCAAAGGAGAGGGGCGCAGCCTCTCCTTGGGTCCCGGCTGTCTCTTCGAAGCCACCCTCCGGGCCGCCCGAGTCGTCGCTGGGCGCCCGCACCCGGCTTTGTCTGCGCCCACGGAGCGCACCCGCTGGGCACCCTGGGTGCTCTCACCGGCTGGCACGCAGCCCTCGGGGACCCGGCTGTCTTCTACCCGCGCCGCCCGGGGCCAGCCCTCCGCTTCCCTGCAGAGGAGCGAGAGGGGCGCGGCGCCACCGCTCTCGACGAGCCCCCCGCAACGCCGCACACCCCAACCTCCCGCCCGGGCGCCGCGCTGGCGGCCGCAGCCCGGGGCCGGACGAGCCCTCGGGGCCCACGGGGGCCGCTCCCGGCCCCTCACCACTCCCGCGGGCGGCCGCAGCCCCGGCCAGCGCCGGGGCGCGCGCCGGTGGGCCGCGAACCGGAGAGTGGCGCGCGGTACCTTTCCCTGCTGAGCCGGGGAAGTCAGTCTGCGGCGAGTGGCGCTCCAGCCTCGGCCTCCTCCGCCTTCCCTCCTCCTCCAGCCGCCTGGCTTCCTCCTCCAGCCGCCGCCGGGACCTTAGGGGCAGGAGCCAGCCGCCGCGGCCTGTGTGGGGCCCCGCTCCGCCTTGCGTCCCCTTCCCACCCCGCCCGGTCCTCTTGACCCCGCCTCCGCCCCGCCTCTGGGCGGGGCCTAGCCGAGCTCCTCCCCCGGCCGGGCCGCCGGGAGCCCGGCAGCTGGAGACAGTGGAAGCTCGCGGGGGACTGCGCTGTCTCACCTGAGCCCTTCCCTGTCTGCTTATGCTTGGTCCCATCACTAGGCGCCAAATGTCCGCCCTACTCCCCCAAAGAAAAGGAATCAGCCTCCTGAGCCCCCTGTGCTGGGCGAAAGGTAAATCCGAGGCTGCCTCCAAGGCGATGGTCAGAACCAGGACCTGGACCTCAGTTTACCCAAAGGTCTCCGTCGTCCTTTCCGATGGGAAGGGGGAACTCCCTCTATCCTTCCCGCCCGTCTTCACTTCCTCGCGCCCTGGATAGCTTAGTTCGGGCAGGGGCCTCGTCCCTAGGGGTCTCCAAACTCATTTTCTCCCTACACCCCTCCAGCAGCTTGCCCCACTGTCGCTGTCCCCACTACACCGGCCCCCAAACCTGGGAAACCTCTGCTTAACAATCTGGGCCCCAAGGGACAACCAACCTATCTCTCCCCACCTTCCTAGACCACTTCTAGGGATCCTAGAAGCACCTCCAATAAATGTCACGTACTGATACCCAGGGCCAGGTGCTCAGTTTAATGAAAATCAAAGTAACTGCAGGTGCAGGTGTTACTTAAGAAAACACACACACACACACTTCATTGGGAACTATTTGTTTGCGTGGGGGGGGGGGGCGTTGTTGGGCTTGGGTTTGGGCATTTGTTTTATTTGTATTGTTCCCTTATACCACTGATGAAAAATGGTGAGGCCTGGGATGGATCCTGTTTGGGGAGGTGCCACCATATTCACTCATTTTAGTTCAAGAGGGGAGGGCTGCTGAAGGAAGCCCTTGTCTCTGATGGATTTGTTCTCTATAACCCTGTAAGCATCTCCCTGGTCTCCCGTGGGTGATAAGGACCTGGGTGGAGAGTGCAGGTCTCAGTGGGAGGCAGGCCCCACGCTGAATTCTCAGGCAGGAGAAGACCCCCACAGGGACTATGGTGGGACGGACCCTCAGTGCAGACCCTAAGTTCACGTGGGTTCAGAGGTCAGAGAACAGCAGTGTCCCTGCAGAAATGGGGTCTGATGCTCCCTTACAGGAGGGAAGCAGCTGGGTGCGGGCTCCAGAGTAGGGCCACGGCAAATTTCAGGTGCGGTTTCTGTCATTGGCCAGGCTCTTCTCTCCCAGGAACCTCCTTTCTTCCCTTAGGCAGATGCCCTCTTGGGGTTAAATATCACACTCTCCTCTGTGAATCCCTCCTCGCCACCAAGGAGAGAAGAAGGTCTATGAGTAATCCCTTGGGAGCAGATTTCTTGGGTTAGAATTCGGCCTCTATGTGGCCTTGGGGAAGTGATTTAATCTCCCACTTTCCTCGTGTGTAAAATGGAATTAAAACATTCTCCAGAGAGGCCCTGTAGGTATTAAACCTAAAACCAGACTCACTGCCATCGAGTCGATACTCAGAGCGATCCTATAGGACGGGGTAGAACTGCCCCTGTGGGTTTCTGAGACGGTCACTTTCTGAGAGTAGAAAGTCCCATCTTTCTCCTTCGGAGAAGCTGGTGGGTTCAAACAGCTGACCTTGAAGCTAACCACCCAACATGTAGCCACTACATCACTGTAGCTCCTCCTGTGGGAATTAGACAAGAACTTTAATAAGGGCCTGATACATTATAAATGATGGGGAACTCTACTTAAAGTGGCTTGGTGTAAACAGAAAATGCATATGCTGACATAACAGAAAATGCATATGCTGACGTAACAAAAAAACTCCAGTGGAATTCAAGAAGCTCAAAAAGCAATCATAACGGCTCTCTCTTCCTCTCCCCAACTCTGTTTCTCATGGTGGCAAGATGGCTGCCAGCAACTCTAGGTTCCATGCTTACAGCCCAAGACCTCATTTTTTTTCCAGCTGTACAGCAAAAAGCCAAGGTTACTCCTGGTTGACTCTGACTGGGTCACATCTCATCCCTAAACCATGCACTAGAAGTATAATGTTCTGAATGGCTGGCCCAAATCACAAGCCCCTGCCCGCCCCTAAAGTCAATCCCACCCAAGCCACGTGGGTGGAGAGTGAGAAAAGGGATTGATTTCCAGAAGGGAATCAAGATGTTGTTTTCCATTAGAAGATGAATAAGTCCAAAGGTAGGTGCCAGGCACACAACAAGTTCCCAAAAAAGCGCTGATCATTGTTGTGGACCTCCGTCCTAGTTCCAACGTGCCTAGTACCTTTCACACATCCTTCTGTTTGGGGAGCCCTGCAGCCACCATCCACCCCACCCCAAAGCCAGAAATACTCTTTCTCATCCTCCTTTGCAGTTGAGGGGCTGCCATCAACCAGGTCCACTAAACCAATGCACCATTGAAGATTTATATGTGAAAAAGAGCAACGGGAGGAAGCAAGTAACACCAAAAACCCATGGGGAGAGAGGGAAGCGGGTGGCAAGGATAGCACTGGAAGCATCTGGCTTGAGGGACATCAGTAATAGAAGTGCCGGAGGGCTTGTCAAAAATAAAAATGAAGTTGCCTATTGCTACCTAACAAACCACTCCCAAGATATAGAGGCTTAAAATGACAAGGCTTTCTTAGCTCTCACAATGCTTTCAGTTGGCTGAACTCAGGTAGTGATTCTGCTGGATGTAATAAGGTTGACTACGGATATCAGCTGGAAGCTTGGCTGAGGCTACAACATCCCAAGTTGCTTCTTACTGTGACCTCTCCAACAGGACTGTCTCAACTTCCCTACAGCATAGCAGCTTGACTTCCCAGAGGGATGGAATGGACGTCTCCCAGCATCCTAAATCCTAAGCCAGAACTGTCAATTCATTCCTTCTGCCACAGTCATGCTACATGACTTGGCTAAAGCAAGTCACAAGTCCAGTCCAGATTCATGACCTGGGTCAGTTGACTCCATCTCTTCTTGATAGAAGGTGTGGCGGGAGCATACGGAGATGGAAAGAGGCATTGGCAACCATCTTGGCAAATATCTTCCCCAAAGCTGAAGCCCTGAGGATTGCTACTCTCTGGTCTTCAAGAACAGACTCCTAGGGCAGGCAGTTTCTTTCTGGAATGTTTCCTACAAGTCACCCTGCCAATACCTTCAGCAGCCTGTGTAAAACCTATCCCACCAAGGGGGGCTTTGGACCCTGGTTGGTGCAAAGTCAACAAAAGCTAAGAAGGTTCCAGAATAATAAACTCACATCTGACAACCAGCAATGTAACTTAGAACAAACTTAGGCATATCTTAGAAATGCAACAAGCATTTCTTCCTTGATTTTTTTTTGATTCCTTGGCTTATAGACAATCTTCACACAATATTTGTCTTCTTGCGTGTGTGTGTGTGTGTGTGTGTGTGTGTGTGTAATCTGTTATTTTTATAGCGCTTAAGTGATCTATAATCTACCTTATGTGGGTACTGTTTAATTAACATAACAAAGAAACCCAAGCAGGATTACATCCGTAAACACCAGGACCAAAAATTAAATACATATTTTAGGGGGGCATAATTCAATTGCTAACAAAGGGATTCCATTTTTCAAGTATGAAATAGGGGCAATGAAAGAAAAACCCCCTGTCTCTCAGGGTTATGATGAGGACTTAAAAGAATAAAGGAAACTAAAAGGAATGTCTAAGCATTCAGGTTCCCTCCAAATGTCAGTTATTATTAGCATCAGGTCTCTACCACATCAATGCAGCTGACGTAGACTCCCTTTTGTGTTGAAACATTAGTAAAGCATTGGTCACAGTCAGAATTCACATCTGTGAGGCACTTCACAGTTTACAAGCCACTTCCACGCCCCCTATTCTGGGGAGTCATTCTGTGAGGGCAAAGTAACAAGGATGAGTTTGTGAAGACGTGTATTAGATTCAGGAGTGTTCATTGCTGTAAAAAGGGAGGCTGAGAAAGGAATGGTTCCAATATAACAGACAATTCCATCTCATCCACATAATAAAGGGGTGATCCCATTTCATGGCTAGCTTTTCCTCAGTGATTCAGGGATCTGGGTGCATTCCATCTTGTACCTTCAACAATCCTTGGAGTTGTACGCTCACACGCACAAAGCCACCAGCCGAAGAAAGCCGTCAGCTGAAAGATTACATTTACTGCTTCTACTCACATAACATTGGCCAGAGCTGGTCACGCATATTCCCACCTAACTGCAAGGAATGTCGGAAAGGGCGTTCTAGGTGAGTCCAGCAGAAGAGCAGGAAAGTGAAATTTGGCGATCAGCCAGAAGTCTCTGTTATGAGTCAGTTTAGAAGGGTCTAGAAGGGGGGGAGTCATGTGTCATCCCTGGGAGGAGGATGCTGTGGATTGACTTACTTCAGTCTCCTATATAACATTTTGCACTTACATTTTTGCCAAGGGCTCAGAGAGATGGAGTGTATTTTCCTTCCTAGGAATATTGAGCTTGACCATGTGACTTCCTCAACCAATGGAAGTGGTATTCTGGCCGTTTGGAGCATCAGCTTTAGGAGATGGCACTTTTTTCCACTTCCTTCTCGAACCTTCCGCCATCCCCTCTAAAAGTTCTTTCCTAGTTAGCGACTGCCCCTCCACTTGAGTACAGAGTGAATACAGACCAGAGCTCAACCCACAACCCAGACAAGCACCCGGAAGCAAAACCACATACTTACTTGATCCACGTCTGGATGACCAAACACTCAGCCAATCTCCAGGGCATGAGATCGGCAGAAACATCCTAGCCAATGGACACATGCAGGAGAGCAAGCACAAACTGTTGTGTGCTACTGAGGAGTTACACATTGTTGTGACAATAGCTGACTCATGTTATTGTTAGTGACCCAACAAAACACAGAGCAAAACACTACCCAGTCTTGCACCATCCACACAATTGTTGTTAGGTTT